GCCATTGTGAGACGGCTCGCGGTGCGCAGACGTCTGCGAGTGGAGTCTACTGATGTCGCCGTGCCTCCTAGAGCCCCTGGGACTCCAAGAGGCCGCTGGGTTCCCCGCAGCGCTCCAAACGCTACGAACCTGAACCCTTCAACTGGGGAAGGTTGAAAAAACACATGGAACACTGAGTGCAGGAATTCTTTACGCTTCGCGTATCCCCACCAGCCCATCTCACAGCAGCAACTCTCGCGAAGCATGCCGGCAGTCGTGTTTTTCAGGCGTGTGTCCGCTTGGCCCCGCATATGTCCCTTGTTCCTCTTTCCTCCCGCCTCCTTGTACATCCTCCTTGTGAGGGGAGCGGGAGAAGGACGAGGCGGAGGAGGAGGGAGAGAAAGCGCTCCTCGTGATTTGAGTCGTTTGGGGTTTCTCGTCCTGGTGTGAGTCGTTCGGGCCCTTCTTCCTGGTGTGAGTCGTTCGGGCTCTTCGTGGTGTGAGTCGTTCGGGCTCTTCGTCCTGGTGTGAGTCGTTCGGGCTTCTCGTGGTGTGAGTTGTTCGGGCCCCTCATCCTGGTGTGAGTCGTTCGGGCCCCTCCTCCTGGTGTGACTCGTTCGGGCTCCTCGTGGTGTGAGTCGTTCGGGGCCCGCGTCGTGGGTGGTGTGAGTCGTTCGGGCCTCGTCCTGGTGTGAGTCGTTCGGGCCCCTCGTGTGGTGTGAGTCGTTCGGGCTCTTCGTGGTGTGAGTCGTTCGGGCCCCTCGTCCTGGTGTGAGTCGTTCGGGCTCCTCGTGGGGCCTCTTGGGGGCCTCTTGGAGCCTCTTGGGGGCCTCTTGGGGGCCTCTTGGGGGCCTCTTGGGGGCCTCTTGGGGGCCTCTTGGGGCCTCCTCTTGGGGGCCTCTTGGGGGCCTCTTGGGGGCCTCTTGGGGCCGCTTGGGGGCCTCTGGAGGGCCTCTTGGAGGCCTCTTGGGAGCCTCCTGGGGGCCTCTTGGGGCCATCTTGGGGCCTCTGGCGACCTCCTCAGAAGCGCAAATGAGAGCTGCCCCCTGAGAAGGCCATAATGGGGCCAAAACCATAGTAAAATCAATGATTTTGCTATGAGGGAAGAGAAGCGCGGCCCCCTCAGAAGGCCATAATGGGGCCAAAACCCTCGTAAAATCAATGATTTTGGCTTCAAAGAAGCGCAGAGGGGCCAAACTGTGCCCCCCCGTCGGGGCCAGAATCCTCGTGAGGGTCGTCGTTTTTTGGCCCTCCCAGGAGTCGGAAAAGACCCCTCCAACGACCCGCGGGACCCCCTCTCCAGGTCCAGGGGGAGGGGGTAGGGGGAGGGGTAAACCCCTCCCCGAAGGGGAAGAAGGGGGTTGGGGGATTGAGAACAGAGAAAGCTCGCTAAACCACTCACGCCCAAAGGGCTGGTGGGATCCAAGAGGCCGCTGGGTTCCCCGCAGCGCTCCAAACGCTACGAACCTGAACCCTTCAACTGGGGAAGGTTGAAAAAAAACATGGAACACTGAGTGCAGGAATTTCCAGAAGCCCGGGGAAGACTCCATTTCGTGCCTCGCGACACGGTGGCGGAGAAGGAACAGTGGTAACCTCTCCCCGAATGGGGGTCAAGGGAGGTAGAACACAAAGCACGCTAGACCACCTGCGCCTGGAGAGTTAGATGGATATGCCCACTATTTTTTGTGTGGCAAAGGCTTACCCTCCTTCCCACCGTGATTTTGCACGGTTGATCCGCGTTGGTTTCCGATATATGGCTTGTCGAAACAGAAAGACTTCGGTTCTTAATAACAGTGTTCCCGTTGCAACGTGGGCCGCATTTCAGAATCGGCGCTTTGCTCCTGTCGCTCAGATGTGTGATCTCGCTCGAGGGCGGGCCACACTTCACGACCCGCTTCGTTTCTCGTTGTTGCCACTCCCTATTGCGAAGGCCTTACGGCCGGTGCCGCCGACCCTGTTCGCAATGCGCAGCAAGAGGCACGGGCTGTGGGATGGTTTTGGGGAACGGGGAGAAGGACGAGAAGGTGGGGGAGTGAGGTGTCGTATCTGACCCGGGACTTCCCCGGGACTCCCTCGGGACCCCCCCCGGGACCCCCCCTCCCCCCCCCGTCGGGGAAGGGAAAGGGAAGGGGCTTCCCTTCGACTAAATTTCGACGTTGCTCAAGGTCGGTACGGGGGGGCGGGCGTCGTATCTGACCCGGGACTCCCCCGGGACCCCCCCCGGGACCCCCCCTCCCCCCCCCGTCGGGGAAGGGAAAGGGAAGGGGCTTCCCTTCGACTCAATTACGACGTTGCTCAAGGTCGGTACGGGGGGGGGGCGTCGTATCTGACCCGGGACTCCCCCGGGACCCCCCCCGGGACCCCCCCTCCCCCCCCCGTCGGGGAAGGGAAAGAGAAGGGGCTTCCCTTCGACTCAATTACGACGTTGCTCAAGGTCGGTACGGGGGGGCCGTCGTATCTGACCCGGGACTCCCCCGGGACCCCCCCCGGGACCCCCCCTCCCCCCTCCGTCGGGGAAGGGAAAGGGAAGGGGCTTCCCTTCGAATCAATTACGACGTTGCTGAAGGTCGGTTTGGCTAGCGCGCTTGAGGAGGAGGCCCTGGGAAAGGGCGAGGGGAGCGTGGAGGAGCCCAGGGGAAGAGGGGTACCAGGGAAAGGGAACGACAGAGACGACGATTACAAAGAATGACGGAGATGACGGCTCGAACGGAAAAGCCCCTCACACACGCCGACAGGGTCGGCGGATTTTAACGTGGGCCGCATTTCAGAATCGGCGCTTTGCTCCTGTCGCTCAGATGTGTGATCTCGCTCGAGGGCGGGCCACACTTCACGACCCGCTTCGTTTCTCGTTGTTGCCACTCCCTATTTTCCTTCCGCTTTCGCCTGGTCCTCCCGCTGCTCTTGCTCATGCTGCTGCCGCTTCTTCTTTGTCATCCTCCTGTTTTCCCTCCTGCTCATCCGCCACCTACTCCCGTCCAAGATGCAAAGCCTTTTTCGTTTGATTGCGCAGCACACGATGGGTTACTTTAATGTTTATGGGGTCATTGTCTTCGAAGGCACCCCAGCCAACGGGCTGGAAATACTTCAGCGCAATTGGAAGGGATGCGTAGGAGCGGTAGCATACCAGGTGCGGCGCGAGCGCATCTTGCTCGACAGGTACGCTATGGATATGCCATGTGCTGCAACGTTACGATATGCAATGTTTGATTGCACAAAGCGATGCCATGCCATGCATTGCGTACCCATTGGGGATCGTTATCCTTTCCGACATCCGATCGTGCGAGTGGAGAGGGGCTCTACGCAATGGTAGGGATAGGAGGGAGGGGTACGCCGTAAGATATGACTCGAGTGCACCTATCTTGTCCTCTCCCCCTCTTCCGACTCCCTCCTTCCTCCTCCTCTGCTTCCCTTTTTCCACCCCCTGCATCTCCTCTTCCAACCCCTCCCCGCCCTTTCTTCTTTGATCATACATTGGTAGTGCTCGGAGTGCAGACCACATCAGAGGACTTATACATCATACCTCCTTGGAGTGATATACATCACACCTCCGTGGAGTGATTGCATCATGGCAGGCTTGCAGGTCGTCTTCTGGCCGATTGCCGCGTTTGAAAGAATCCTTCCCGCCCACGTTTTCCGATGCCTTGCTAGAGCAGCTTGTTGATGCACGGGGGACTGCACAAGCCTTGCGCTTCTACCCAGCTGGGCCGTGAGGCACAAGGGAGAGATGTTGCCACCTGGGCAGCGAACCACTTCCGCCCTTTGCCTTTTCGGAAGTGTTCGGGGCCTCTTTTGCCGTTTTAGGGTGTCCTGGGCCGTCCGGTGCCGCCAGGGTGCCGTTGCCATGTTGAGTCAATCCATTGGCCGCTGGGCGCGTTCTTGGGGCGCATTTTGAGCCGCGCCGGACGTCCAGAGTCGCGCGCGGCGCGCGGGCGAGATCTCTGCTTGGCGTCGCACCCAAAGTGCGAGCGGTGGCTGTTCGCGACCGGCGTTGTTTGGAGCCTTTGCTCCGGGCGCGTTCGGCCCCGTCGGCGCGCGGGGTCCCGCGCGGTCGTTGCTGGATTTTCGCGCAGCTCGGGGCGATCCCGCGCGGGTCTCAAGGATTTTGCGCCCCGCGCGTGAGCCGCGCGGAATTTTCCAAAGGGCGCATCGGCGAGGCGGTCCTCACCCCAGCGCCTGAACACGTGCCCCGTTGAATTTCTCTCGGGTGCCTTCGGGGGCCGCGATTCTGGCCCCGCCTTCGCTGGGCCAAGGATACAGTGTTCTGCGCATCCCCGTCCTGGTTCGTTTGTGTGGGCCTGTTGCGGGGCTGCAATGGTTTCCCCTCGCGCTCTACGACGCGCGCGCAATGCGCGCCTGCAGTCCGGGCTCGCCTCCTCGTTGCCCTGCGGCGTGTAGAGCCTCGAGGCCGCGGCGCGGGTCGCAGAGGGCGCTGTGTCATGCGGTAGGTGGCGCATTGCGCGATGAAATATATGAAACTCATCATCTTCATCACCACAATGATCATTGCCAGATCAGGAGATACATTCATTTTATCCTTTGTCTTCTCCTTCCCCAGCGTCCTCATGTTTTCCCTCTCCCCTTCTTTCCTTCGCCCCTAAGTGCTCCTCTTTGTCCCTCCCATGCCCCAGGGGTGGAGGGACGAGGATGGGCGGCGTAGACGGTAGAGGCCCTCCCGCCTCTTCCCCAGCCCTCGCAGCCCCCGCGCCCAGGCAGGGGGCCCGCGCCCAACGAATTGTGCGTTAGCCTTCCCCCTAACCCAGCTGACGAAGACGGAGGACGCCCCGACGGACGACGACGTCGACGAAAGACGAAGCGACAACGACGGAACGAAGACGGACGACGTCGACGAATGATTGCATTCAACAACGGATGACGGCGACGACGGACGACGACCACAACGCGATAACACCGACGATGGACGACGACGCACGACGAACACGAACGACGGACGACAGCCGACGACGACAAAACGACGACAAAACGAGAACGGACGATGCCAGACGACGGCGCCTCGCCCGCAGGTGCCCCCGCCGGCCCGGCCGCGCGACCTCTGAGTGTTTTTTTGTTTGCTGTGTTTCTTTGTGTTGGGGTGCGCGCGACGGCGCCTCCCTCGCGGGCGGCGCGGGAGAGACGCGCGCTCCCGTGCGCGGGGACGGGAGGGAAGGAGAGCATGGCGGGGAGGGGGGCGGGGAGAAGGGGGGGGGCAAGCTGGGTGCGCTCGCGTCATATCTGACGTCCTACCCCTCCCTCCCATCCCTTACCATGGCGCTGATTTTCTCTATCCGCGGACGCGTGTCGTAGCGGACCTGTGGCTCCGCGCGCGCGTGCGTAGTGGGTGGTGGTGCGCGTGCGTGCGTGCGTGCGTGTGTGCGTGGTTGTGGTGGTGGTGGTGGTGGTGGTGGTGGTGGTGGTGGTGGTGGTGGTGGTGGTGGTGGTGGTGGTGTGGTGTGTGTGTGTGTGGTGTGTGTGCGTGTGTGCGTGTGTGCGCGTGTGCTGTGGCATGGCACGGGAAATGACGCCAGCGCTGCAGCGGGAGCGCGAGTCGGAACGAGCGGAAGCGCGGAAATGAGGCCAGCGCTGCAGCGGGAGCACGATTCGGAACGAGCGGGGCCCGAAAATGAGGCCGGCGCCTCAGCGAGAGCAGCATTTTGAAAAAAATGCAGGCGAAAACCCAACTCCCGGGAATCCTGTGTGTAAAAAAGCAGGACGCGGGGGGGGGGGCGAACACTCCCAGCACGTCATCAGGGGAAGAGGGAGAGTAGTATTCATATTGAGTAATTGTGGAGGGGGAGGAGGAGGGGGAAAAGGAGAGGGGGGAGGGAGGAGTGGGAAAGGGAGGGGGGGGGGAGGAAACGGAGGACGAGGAGTAGGAAGAGGAAAAGGAGGAGGAGGAGGAGGAGGAGGAGGAGGAGGAGGAAAATTGTAAACCCAAGAGTCATCAACGATGTTGGAAGAAACCCTTCTCCAAGCTCCCTTTTTCATAGGCCCCCCTACAACGGTTCATGTCCACTGGGGGAATCGCCTCCTTGGAAAACAACCGTTTGAAGACCCTGAAGCAGTCCAAAGCATTGTTTTCGGAATTCCAGCGCCACGGATCAACCTGACCGTTGCGTCTTGACGATCCTGAATCGTGCCGGAACGCCAACCTTGGGACTTCTACACCGCGAATCAACGTAGCTGTTGCACCCTTCTAATCCTGGACCCTTCAGAACACCATGTTCGGTACGGTGATCAGGGGAATCTGTGAAACTCGTGCAACTTTAAAATCGAATGTGCGCGGCGCTGCGGCGAGAGCCACAGTTTGAAAAGGAACCGCCCTCAATCCGTGAAGCTCTCGCAAATGTTCAAAAACGAATGCACACGGCGCTAAGGCGAGAGCCACATTTTGAAAACGTCCCGCCCTCAACCCGTGAAGCTTTTGCAATTTGTTATAGCGAATGTGCGCGGCGCTAAAGCGAGAGCGACATTTTTTCAAAACGGCCCAGCCTCAATCAGTGAAATTGTTGCCACGTTTGAAGCATCAGGGTTATAAGTGGTGAGGACGTCTCAGGCGTAACGCCCTGCCCGCCCTAAAAACTGGCCTCGGGGTGTGACAGGGAGAGTTGATGTATAAGGAATAGGAATGGAGGAGGGGGAGCCGCAGCACCAACACGGGGAATAGGAGCAGCAGGAGGAAAAGGAGGGAGGAGGGAGGAGGAACGAAAGGAAGTGCGGAGGGCGAGGGTGGAGGAATGAAAGAGGGGAGAGGAGGGAGGAGAGACAGTGCCGAGGGTTGGGAGAGGCAAGTTAGTTTCGCTCGCACCATGTCGGGCAACACCCCCACAAAAATACACATATCAAATCATTTCCCACTTCGCCGATTGGTCTGTACCCGTGGGGCTCCTGGAAGCTCTTTATCCCCAGCGTAGCCCCATCGTTGGCTGCGCAATCAGACGGTGGGGCCTTGCACATTGCACTGGACGGAGGACGAGCTGGCGTATGAGCAGCAGAAGGATGCGCAGGAGGACAAAGGGGAAGAGGAGAATGAGGGGGAGGAGGAGGAGGAGGAGGAGGAGGAGGAGGAGGAGGAGGAGGACGAGGAGGAGGAGGAGGAGGTGTTGGAGGAGGAGGAGGAGGAGGAGGAGATGGAGGAGGAGATGGAGGAGGCAGGAGGAGGAGGATGCGGAGGAGGAGGAACAAAAACATGCAACATCAGCAGCAAGAGGGGGAGCAGGAGGATCAGTGGACGGCGGAGGGGGGGAAATCATGGGGGCGTCGACGACGAGGAAGGACTTGGGTGCAGAAGTGGAGTCGGCGCTGGAGCGAGAGCACCGCTCTTGAAATGCGGTCAGAGCTCCAGTAGTAATAACCTGTTTGAAGGACTGGCTACGTTCCGATCGAACAAGCAACAACACACCAAACACCGTAAACCATGGCACCTTGTGTCTGCAAGCAGTGCGCCACGCGAAAGAGGTTCGAGCGCACGCGCGCACTGTCAAGGGTGAGAGGAGTCAAGTACACATCTCAAGCTAGGTCCGCTCGAGCCATATTATTTGACATCCTATCCTTCCATCGCAGCCCTTGCCATTGCGCTGCTGTTTACCTATCCGCGGACGCGTGTCATAGCCGACCTGGAACTCCACAAACGACCCCATTGTGTTATGCGCAGTGGGAGAAGGGAAAGTTGTGGGATCTGTGTGACCAGGTGGACCTCTGTGGTCTGTAGGGCCTGTGAGACCTGCGACACCCGTAGGACATATGGAACCCGTGGACTTGCGGAACCTATGGGAATTGTGGGACTTGTGAGAATTGCGAGACTTGCGGGACGCGTGGCACCAGCGGGACCTGCGGGATTTGTGGGATCTGTCGTGGGACTTGTTGGGCATGCGACACCTTTGAGGCTTGCGGGACCCGTCGGACATGTAGGACTGGGCATTGGGGCATGCGAGATTTGCGACATTTGTGGGACCTGTGTGACCTGTGGAAGTTGTTAGACCAGTTGTACCCATGGGACGACCTGCGACATTTGTGGATCCTGTGAGGCTTGTGGGACCTGTTGGGCCTGCGAGACCTGCGACTCCTGTGGGATCCAGGCAAGTGGCCCACGTTGAGTCGGGAGCGCAAGTCTGAACAACGGGAGCACAGCGCCGATCCGAAAATGAAGCCAACTGTGCAGCGAGAGCACCATGCACAAAAGAAATGTATACAATCGGATTGCAACAAGACAGAAGAAAAGCCAGCTCGCGCAAATCCTGTGCGCGGAAACAAGACGTGGACGGAGTGCGAACAATCTCAGCACATACTCGGGGAAGAGGAGAGCGGTATTCATATGGTGTAATTGTCAAGTGTAAAGAAGGCGAAGGGGCGTGGCTCTGATCTGTCAGGCTCTGAGCGCGTGTGTTGGCCCTGGTGCCGAAGAGGGGGTGGAGAAGGGGAGCTCTATAGCGCTTCGTGGTCGGACGGGACGCCCATTGGGAAGCGCGCAGGGAATTGTCCACCGCGTGGGTTCATCATTCCTCTGCGTGTTCTGGTCACTTCACTGTGCTCACACCCGCAAGTATCAGACGTAGCAGTTCGAGAGGTCTGGCAGGAGATATGGGAAGGTAACGGTGAAGGGTATTGTCAATGGGTATTACAAGTAATGGTGAAGCGGAGGAGCAAACTGCGTTGCCGCGTTTCGTTGCTTCTCCTCGCTGTCATGTGTTTCACGCTCGGACGTCGAGCCTTGAGCCAAAAAGGTGCACATACGTAACCACGCATTCCGCGCTTCTGATGCAGAGCGGCACCGACAGCACGCATTAAGGACTATGCCTGAGATCCATGACCTAAGTGTGTGTTATAAACTTGGTTCGTTCTCATGTGCCAGGGCTTGCTTCGTGAGGACAAGCTGGCAGGACGGGGTGATTGTAGCAATTTCGGTTCGCAGCCCACGAGCGGGATTGCAATAAAAAGGATCTGCAGTTTACGAGCGGAGATTGTAGCAATTTCGGTCCCGAGTGCACGATGCAGGATTGTAGCAAAAATGGTCTGCAGAACAGAAGTTGAGAGGTTTTCCTTCGTCAGCGGGACCCTGCACACGACTAGGCCGATTTACCACCCTTTCTCCAGAGTCACACACGTGGGATCGTTTTCTGCGGTGCATACTAAAGACAGGGAGGCTGGATACTCCAGGCCAGATCAGGCGCCATGAAGCATTCGCACATTATGTGGGTGTAAGCGCTAAACATTCTGACACTGATGCTGCGGTCTCGGATCCACGTGTTTGGAGGGCCCACTACACACGGGGAGGGACGGGGGCAGGGAGGTGAGGGGGCAGATGGAGAAGGAGGCAACGACCCTCTCCACTGTCCTGCGCCGGCGGGGCGGCAGAGGAGCGCCTCGCAACATTCAAATGAGATTTGGCCTCCCTAGCTGCTGCCAAACAACGCGCAACGGTTGCCACATTTGCGCCCGATGGGAGACCGTTGGGGTGGTGGCGTACGCGGGCCCAGTCATCCTCCGCACTTGGGTACGTCCACGTGTGCAAGTGTGGCATTTTTCCCATACCCTTGCGGGGCCTTGCGGATTGGTGTGTCATGTGCGGAAGCATTTGATGTCCTCGCCTGCATTGGTGTTTCCAAGCGTGCATTGGTCACATTTCCATGCGCATCTGGGGCCAATCCAAAAGGAGACCTCGCCTCATTCGGTGTTGCGAAAATGCACTTGGTGTTGTGAAGGTTAGAGACGCCACTACTCGTTAGGTCCCTGGAAATCCCAGGAGGGTGTCGTGGTGCGGGCGGCACCCCTTGAGACATCCGTCTCGTTCGGTGTTGTTTGTTGTTTGTGGTGTGCTGGCATGCGCTCCTCCCATCCCTTCCAGTTGTGACTCTTCTTTCCCTGCTCGTTCCCTGCCGCTTCCCGCCGCAGCTGTAAATGTTGTATAGGTACCTACGTGGAAAAAGCGCCGTGCGCGAGCACCGCGGGCCTATTGGCGCGAGAGTTGAAAAAGTCGTGGCTTGTCGTCGGTGTCGTCGTCGTCCCTCCTCCGCTCTCCTCTGTTCCCTTGCATACAGCCATTCACAGCTCAACGGGTCATGGAATGCATGTTTGATATACCCATCATGGGCAATGAGACCGATACGTTAGCATCATCATCCGATCCGACCTTTGCCGGACAGCGCATTCTTCTGGCGAGTGACTGGCTGCCAGCCGG